TTTTTCGTCGGTAATTTATCGCCGAGTCTTCTCTTGCGCGATAATTTAATTCAACTATTAATATTACTCATTGAGTAATGGCTATTGCCAGTTTGTTCCTTCACGTTATAAACAGAGAACGATCAAATGTTCGACCGATTGTAAAATTTATTTGTTACTGTTACAAGTTGTAACTCGTGGCTTGTAAATATATAATCGTACAGTAGCACCGAGATATTAAACAAATGGTGATCATTGCATCCTGATTGGTCAATATTGTGCAAGCTGTAATATTGTACGTTCGAATTTTAGAAGTGTTTGCAGTTAAAATTGTAGAGATACTTAAATTTAAACAGACTTTCTTGGAGTGGCGTACTAATGGTTTAAACCAATATGGTTTGGACCATTAGTAGCCTATTTATAGTTGGGATAATTTATGGAACTGACGATAAAAACGTACTGTTGAATTTATTTAAAAATAAATTATAATATTGAGATTGCAAGAAGTGCTGCAATAAATAAGTCTATTTTATCTTAGTTTATGTATCTTTAGTTATTTTTCCTATCTTTTTAAAAGACATTGAGTATTTATTAGGAAAACTCATCACTATTTAGACGTGAACCATCACTAGTTAGATATGAAATAAATTTTTTCAACAATACTTTTAATCACTCGGTATTGCAAACTGTGATGTTTAGCTACCAATGCCAAATATAAATATCACATGTCCTCATTTTTCATTCGTATCACGTACAGTGTTACGTCCAAGGATTTTGCATACTCTATTCTTACTTTACATTGGGCAACGGTAAAAGAAAAAAAGATATTCTAAATGTTTATTGAGAATTTGAAGCGTCATCGATGATTATTATACCTTACCACAAAATCTCAATCTTAGCAAGTTGATATTTAAACAAGTAAACATTATCGTAACCTTGTTCAACTCACCAAACAAAGCAATTTCAATTTATTATTATTTTGAAACAATATGAGAGTGAGAGAAATCGTTTCTTCTATTTCCAGCAAGGGAAACTTCCCAATCCGGAAATTCAGAAAATTATGAAACTTTAGGAATAAGTAGAGCATACAGAGGTATGCACGGTGCAATTTCTTTTTCCGCGGAAATTCACTCTGAGAAATTGTTCCTTGAAAATTTGGTTGTTTCTCGAAATTTTATGTCGTTTAACTCGTAAGCTAGAAAAGATAGGGGCTTCGAGACGAATGTTACTGATTTCAATTGGAGCTATCATGCGATGAAGGATTTTCTACTTTTACAAGCAATTATACACAATACGAAAGAAATTATACACAATACGACGATAAAAAATTTTTTCTAAAATTCAACGAAACAAATATCTTTTTAATACAAGTCGTCAATTTGCGTAATTTCGTCAACTTGATTTTTGTGAATGTTAGACAAACGCTGGTTCATCAAGTTGCAAAAGATCTACACACGTGCTTCTACTCATTTCCATAATTGAGGTATACGTTTACATTGTTGTTAGTAAAATGATTGGATGCAGGGATAAAAAGAATCAATTGGATTCTTATCTATTTCCATTTCTACTCGCCGTCTGACACAATTGCGCGAAATTTTACCTATATATTCGCCGTCACGTCGCGCCGTTTCTTCTGCGTTGCACGGCGAGTTCCGATTCGCCGGCAGTTCTCGTTTTTGCCGTTTGGATCACGGCCAAAAAGTGGAGGCACGCAATTAAATTTCGTACGAATAATCCCTGAGCAAGAAAAATCGAAAGGCGAGAGAGAGAGATTTCCTGCCGCCTTATGATTATACTTTGTCATTCTCCCCAATTTCTTTTTTTCTTTTTTTTTTTTTTATAGTATATACGTCGAGGAAATTACGTTACTAAGAAAATTGAAATTTAACCTCAATCTCACAATCCTCGCGTGTCAGATCTCACGTTATCGATGCATAATTATCGATTCACCAGCTCGATATACATATGCATGAATTTATTAAGGTTATCCTATCCTAGGTGAGGCGTACTTTTCCCCTCTACCTTTAAAAAAAAAAAAAAAATAACAAATTGAATATGGTTTGCATCATATCGATACTTATCGATTTATGCGCTCAACGTACAAAGTCATTAATATTCTCGTTTGAAATTAATGGACTGAACATAGTTTCTATTGCGTTCGATTAATGTAACAAAGCTTTCGTTATTATTCTAGATTTATAAGAAAAATATTTTCCTAGAATTGAAAATCCATAGAATAGAAAACCACAACGATTTCTCAAGCAATTAAATTTCCATATTTTTGCCCATTTAGATTTAAATCTTGTGAAAGTGGCTATGTTCACGACAGTACCGAACGAAATTAATTGGGGTTTACAAAACCGTTGTCAGAATCGATTCTACGCATGTCAAATCTTCCGATAATCGCATGGTAACCGTTACATCTCGAACGACCATACGAGCAAAGTATGAATTTAACGATCCGCTCCATTCACTCCTCTTTCGTTCGAAAAAACGAAAATCTTCCAATCTAAATCCTATTTTTTTTTTGTTTCGTTTTTTTGTTTTTGCGAAAGTATAAAAATATTTCGAGTTCGCTTTTTATCGATCAGTTTTGAAAGTTGCAGCTGCAAACATTTAAAACTTCATAGAATGTTTAAAATACTTTCTCTTGTAACTATTTCTGAATGAAATAATTTTTATGATCTTAAAAGTTACAGTTTTCCGAAAAACATTCAAGGTATGATAAAATAATGTTTAAAACGAAACGAGTTTGTTATTTGAGACGGGAAATAAAGATTTATAACCTAAAAAACTGGACTTTTTTTCAACTGAAATTTCAAGCGTAATTTTCTGCTAGTGGAATTTTAGTGAAAATCCTTATCAATTTCGTCACTGAACCTGAATTCTAACTCCTAAATCCCAACTAAACGGTCAATTACATCTAACACTCGTCGGAATAAGGTTACAGAACCCTGGAGACAATCACTCGCGACGTATTTACGCACGGGCTTCAGAAATTCTTTTAAAATCCACTATCTTTAATTGAAATCTGACTAGAAATAATTCTAGAACCAAATAATAATAATAACACACACGTGTATTAATAATCTCGATAATAAGCCTTAATGTCTATCATTTAATGTCGTAGTAATGAATGAGTTAATGTTAATAAAAATTGTCGATAGTCGAAGATCGATCGATTCATAACCTTTTCAATTCAAGTTATAACGGTTACGATCCCGATACTTTTGCGAGCCAGTATATATGGGCCATCTCAATACCACCGATCCTAGAATATACAGTCTGATCCAGTATCCCTAATTTACCCGGCATAAACAGCGCCACCGATTCTCATCAAAACACAGGTTTGGCTACGAAGGAAGAAAAAAGGGAAAAAGAAAGAAGTAGTCAAACCAGTTGCACCGCTAAAAGCGCAGCTGAAGAAGAATCCAAAGTGAAGCGAAGAAACTCACCGTAGCCCTCCTCAGCGTGACATCTCTGTGGCCGAGCGGTTGGCAAAAATGTCGCGCACGATTTTTCGAGCCTGTCGCCGACGCGGCGGAGCCTAGCACGGCGCGGTGGCACCAGCAATTATCCCGATCACGTCCAGTCACAAAAAGCAGGGCACAACGTGCATCGTGCCGATGCACGATGCTCGCGTTGCACGTCTCTTCCACCGGCGGACGACGAGTGCCCGCTAGCCAAAACTCGCGTGGATTCACGGTTGCCCGATGCACGACGATCACGAGGTCTGCCCGACTCGAGAATATGCCCCGCGACGTTGCAAAGTGTTCGGCCCGCTCCGTAAGGGAGAGACACGCCAGCATATAGAGACGAACAGATACGAATCGGTATCTGACGCGTGTGTCTCGTACGAGTCGAGACCCGAACGATGCAGCTACTCCAAGTGATCCTGAGAGTGTGACAGGCCAAAGAGAAAGGAAGCCGAGAGGAGCGTGCGAGCGAAAAAACGCGTTATATCCCCAACATCGACCACATTGCTCGAGCAACAGCATCCAACTGCTTTGCTGGGCCCATCAACATCACGAGCAACCCCCAGGCAACTGTGGCGACGTCTGGCGTACTTCCGCGAATTTCATTCATAGCCGAGTTACTCGTTTTTTCCTCTATTTCTATTCCGTTCCCCTTTACCACGGTCTGAAATGATTTTTGGCACACAATGCAGGTCCGTTTGCATGAACCTTTTGGGAAACGATGAGACTCCATTTATTCTCCCCGCCAGCTGTAATTTTTCAAACAAACGACTCTCAGATAAGTCGATCTAACCGTACAGTGAATTTCGTTTAACAAAGTTCAAATATAAACGGATTTGCAATTATTTCGTTAGGAATTCCTTTGGAGATCTGCTTGCAAATATTTGTTAATGAAGTCAATTGTATTGTGTGTAATTAAGATTATTATTTGGAGCATACTGAATTTCAGACTTTATTTTATCATATATGGCAAATTTTGTCGAATAAAATTGAAAAATGTTAATCTCTCAAGGCGTGAAAATTATTATTTCAATAATTATGCGTATATAAAATTTATGAAAATTGAACGCCATATTAATTTTGGCCGGTAAAGTCGTTATCGTGATATCGATATCTCTTGCATATCGATTGAGTCGATGATCGAATCTTTTGCAAAGCGCCAATTTGTTTGTTCATTCAATAGCAACATTTTTCTTAACGATATTAATTAAAGTTTATCTAAATCTAATTCAAAGCAACACCAATTCGTAATAAATGACATGAATAAGTTTATCGTTTTTGCTTTTATTTACTGTCGGTAATGTAGTCAATATAGAAAATTTTTAATTTTTACATTTTTTCGTGCATGTTGTTATTAACAAAATAGTTGAGGATAAATCTCGAGATTTTAGAATTTTGGACAATTTATTTTGTGCATTGTGAATTTAATTTAATAGATAGTTGTATCACAGACCAGGTATTTTAGTAGCAAATAACCTAGTTATACAAGAATCAATATTCCAATAAAACCACGAACTTTACTTCCAATAACATTTACTTAAGCAAATAATACATAACTAGTAGCCTTGAAAAGATTATAAATTGACATAAAAGTCAGATTTACATTTACCAATTATCACGAAATTCACACCAGACTCTTATGCCCACAACCAAGTTAAAATTCTTCGTATTGAAATTGAACTTAAGACGAATAAAAGAACCTTATTTTCAGTTGCACTGAATCGAATGTGCCACTTTAAACCGACCACTAGCCTCGAAAATTGCGAATAAATCAGCCATCTAAAGCAAAAGCTTACGATAAATGTTCACCGATGTAACAACAAGGTTACTGTTCGCGTGGATTTCAATCCAGACAGGAGAGACATCGCGAGGAGAAATGTAGTCGTAATAATTTTCAACGCTGGAGTGGATCTCTCAGCCTTGTGCATTGCGATTACGTATGTACATCCACTTCTACACGTGAATCCGCGGATCATGTGGTTGCCGTGTGTTAGCTGCAGTGTGGGTCTATATGCATGCAGTGGGCCACGATGAACGTTACACGTTGGTCGTACATTTCCCGTCGCTACTTTAAAATGTCAAGAAAAATGTGAGGTCTTCAGACAGTCACGTAACTTGCGGCTGGAAATCTCCAAATGCAACGAACTGTTTGATCCCGAGGTGAGATCCTAATGTTGTGATAACGTTCTTAGAAACAGCCGCATTTTGCCATGCGGCAAATCATTAACATGTCTGACGCTTCTCTCGATGTTGATATCTCTTAAATTTATTCTACGTCGCACTACAGAATGCTATCAAAGATATCAAAGATATCAAAGATATCAAAGATATCGTTCATTAACGATGCACCGATAAGCAATCAGTTATGTTATTTAAGCGATACCAATCGGTTTTGTAACGAGGATTTTATAATTACAATTTTCAATTACATAGGCGAAATCGCTGCACAAAGTAATTTTCACGTATCAATTTCCACTATGTTTTGTCTTGTTTTTTTTTTTTTGTTATTATTTAGCTAATTTTGCTTGAAAATAATTAATGATAATGGCACTGTAATAAGACTGAAATTTGTAGTACATATAATGTTTGAGCAGTGTAACTCGTATAATGATTAAAATATCAATGTTTATGTGATAATCATAGTTTCAGGATGTTATTTATATTATCTCCAAAGCTGAGTGTTGTAATTAGTAGTCATGCAGACCATATCACACATGCTGAAGTATTCTAAGTGTTATAATTATGATTTCCACAGGACCAAGGATGTCAAAACGACTGAGCTTCTATGGTCTAGTAGGCCTGGCGTCCCTTTGCATCTTCTTCTTAGCATTTAATCAACGCTACAGCAGCTACCTTGAGCATCGACTGCAGCCGGTGATATCGGTCAGTAAAAAATCGGAGGTGGGGATTGCTCTAAATTGAGTCACGCCAAACACGCTCTTTCTGACGGTAAAGTCTAACTTTTGCACCTAACTTTTTTCCACTTGTACACTAACAATGAACTGTGAAGCCATTGCAAACAGTTGCCGGCTCTCTTTCTCCCTGTTTCCATAATTTCCTTTCCCTTTCTTTTTATTTTTTTGGTTTAAGCAGTAGCAAATACAATAATCACTGGGATAATCTGAAATTATTGGTATCAATCTTGCATAAAAAATTTAACAACATTGTAAATATTTCACTCCACAGTTATTAAATATTAACAGTCCATTTCCTTTACCAGAGCGATATATGTTTGGAATGATTACTTATGGAAAAATAATCATAAGGAAAATAGGTGTAAAATAACACAATAGCAATGTAATTGATAAAGCTTTATATTTTTTTACAATTTTTTTTTATTTTATGCATGTTTTGCATAAATTCACATCTTTCTTTGCATTTCTAATATTTTTTTATAATGTACATATAATTTTATTTACACCACTGCATACTTTGGACACTAATTCACTACCTACATAATGAAAGAGGGAGAAAGATATTATCCTGATTACATCAGCAGCATTATCGTGTTCACAACATATTATGCACTTTCAGTATGCTAAATTATCAATATTTTCTTCAATATAGGATGTGGAAATAAGGCCACGCATCATCAAAATTCAAGATCCAGTGACGGTAAGCAAAACGCATGTAGATTTGTATATTTTGTCAATTTTGTTCAATAGAATGAATATTATAGATTGATATCCATGATATAAAGTAAAAAAGCATTCAAAGAAAAATTTCAATGACGAATGAGTATATCAGTGAACTTAAAATGATTGCCATTTTTTTTTCTTTTGTGTTTAACATGTACAGGTGAGTGAATATTTGTCTTGAGAGTAATCTTCTCATTCACAATAATGACCTTTTCATCCATTTAACACATTTGGAATGGTATTGGGAATAAAACTCACAAACAATGCTTAATCATTCTTGCTTGCATTGTCTACAAATTTAATTTGGGATTCAATTTTAAATATTTCATAAATTATGTGTGCTTTCTAGGCATATTTTAGAGGGTCCATTGAAAATGTCACACTTACTGAAATACAAGAAGTTGTTGATCAGCAGAGAAAGGCAATTGAAAGAGAAATGGAAGATTACAAATATCCCAATGGAAGATATGGAGTTAATGTCAGGTATGTTGGTTTTCATTTTTAAAATATATATATGAAACTTCTCCAACAATTATATAATTCTTATAGTAAACTGGAAGACTTAGTGTTAGAAAAAGGGGGAAGACCCATGAGAAGTGTAATTTTGACAAGTTGGCGAAGTGGTAGTACATTTTTTGGAGATGTGATCAACGCGCATCCGGCCAATTTTTACCACTACGAACCTCTTCTTGATTTTGGAATTGTACAAATCAGGGGGCCACCACTTGCTGATGAAGCTCTTAGAAATCTAGAGGCATTATTAAAATGTGACTTTAGTAATCTTGGTAGGTTTTCTAATAAGACATAAGATGGGACATATAGATCGAATATATTGATTTAATTTTCTAAAATAAATATTCTCAGATCGATATTTGGATTATGGTAAAACGCATCCTTGGGTCTTCAATCATAATACTCATCTGTGGAAACAGTGTCAGATTCACAAAAAAATTTGTTGGGATCCACGATTCGTTTCGAAATTTTGCAAATTATTTCCCTTTCAGTCAATGAAGATCGTTCGTTTAAGACTACGTGCCGCAGAAAAGCTCTTAGAACAAGAAGAGTAAGAACACAGCTGAATTTCTTTTGTAATTGATAAATGCGACAAATGTCAAAATAATAATTTCTTTCAGTTTAGGAATACGTTTAGTTCTATTGATTCGTGATCCGAGAGGAATTTTGCAATCAAGAAAACATCGAGAATGGTGCCCCACCAAACCAGATTGCTCTGATCCTGCATTGGTATGCGCAGACATGGTTTCGGACTTTAGTGCAGCAGTTCGACTAATAAAAAAATATCCACGTACTTTTAGGTATGCATTTCTTTTGCAATAAATATTCTACATATAATTTTAAAATAATTCTCTTCTTTAATTTAGGGTGATACGTTACGAAGACTTATCTGTAGACCCCTACCGACATGTAAGGGAATTATACAATTTTTACGGTTTGGACTTTCACGTGAACGTGAAGAAATTTTTAGATACACATACAAAAAACGATGTTGGTGGTGTCTCGAGTACTTTCCGAAACTCAAAAGTAGCGCCCTTTCACTGGCGAACAGATCTCGATTTCGAGGAAGTCGACGAGATACAAAGAGTGTGTGCAGCGGCAATGCGACTATGGGGATATGTTATGGCGTCGAATTCCAGCCACCAAAAAGACTTCGACCCGCTCACAGACTACCAATTACAATTATGACATGGGCGTAGTGCACGATAAATGTCTAGTATCTGTACGCAACTATTACTGTGTAGAATGGTTATAATTCTTAGCTTATCTGCACAGATTATCGAGATTATCACAAGTGCCCTCATTCACATTGAAAACGTGGTGCTGACAGCTTGTTCAGGCAAGCGCTTATGAACTCTTACGATTAATTCTTTTTACCGATCAGGTTTGGATTGATAAGAAAAACAAAAGAAAAAGAGAAAAATAATGAAAGAAGTAAAAAATTATTGGACCTCACAAGACCAATGGTGAAACTCGTTCCTTAAAAAACTTAAGAGATGCATAAGTGCTCTTCGAGCTTGTTGCATAAAGAACAATCTCAATCTAAGACCAGCGTGAAAATTAGGGAAAGTTCCTAAGACCCTGGTGTGCAACAAGGAAACATCCATATCAACGCAAATATTAAACGAACCTAAATAATAATCTTTTTTAGAATTCAAAGTTTAAATATCGCGGTGTTGGTATAATAAATGTAATACATTAGGATTTTCCACTGAAATATTGAAAAAAAAAAAGAAAAAAAATGATCCGGCATTCTTATAGGATATTATTTTTCGCTAAAGAAAAATTATTAAACTTATTAAAACTTTGTATAATGTTATTTCATTGCATAATTTTAGTTTTTTCAAAGATGAATACGTGCATATAATTTTAGTTACAATATATAAATGAAAAAAATGTCCTTGATTTGCAATTGTTATTATTTCTGTCTTACACTCTAATATTGTTATTGTTTCTTAAAAAGTGTGTAAGATCGAAATTTCGAAATTCGTAAGACAAATCTGTAAATAATTAATACTAGTTATTGGTAAATATTGGTGTATCCATTGTTGTATTACAGCTCAGATACTTTTCTTTAAGTATAGTTTCCACGTAACCGGCCTTGAAGCTAAAAATTCGATACAATTATATTTGCATTAGGTTTCAAAGAAATTTAAATCAAAAAATATTACTTATAATTTAGTAAAAAGATTGGAAAATCAAATAATTGGACTGTTATTTAGGTCACTTTATTTTATGAATTATATATTTTTTTCTACTCAATGTACTAGACAATTGTTTGCATGAATTCTTGCTAAATATGTACATTATACTTGTAAAATAATTTCTAATATAGTTCTAAATATGTAAATTCTGTTAAAGCAATAATTATTTGTTTATGAAAAAAAGCAATTTATAAAAGCAATTGCTCATTAGCGTTAGTTAAGTACAAGTGCTCAATATTGACAAAATGTTATTTTATAATTATCTGCGCAATTAACCTCACATTTAAATTAACTGGCTATGTAAATTTTTTCGAATTATATATGGATCATTTAATATACGTATTGCCTACTTTTGCAGTTTTAATCATTTTACTTTCAACCACAATTTTACTTAGCATTGAAGTAAATATTACAAGCAGAAGCATTTTGTGAATTTTTGTTTATTAATAAAACAACTAATCTAGTCCAAACTGTTTGTTTTTTCAGTCCCATTCAAATATATACATATATTTTATTAAAAATAGTATGTTAATAATTAAAACTATTAACACATTGCAATAAAAGTAAATGATAAAAAATACACATCTTTTTTCCAAATATTTTTATTAATCTATTAATTATAATTTTTATCAGTCCTCTTCAAGAAATTGTAAAAAATATACACAAAAAGTTAAAAATTTTTGGTTAAGAAATTAGAAAGATAAATATATGTCACTGAATTATCTTAAAAACAAATTTGTATTAGCATTTAACTCTTCTTTTCCACGTTCATCTGAAACAATAATATAAATTAGATTTTATATCATTAAATGATTTATAGTATGTACTAGAATCATTACTATAACTAAAATGGAATATTTTGTTCAATTATTTGAAATACCTTTTTATTATTTATTTCCATTATAATGCGTAATTAATCTCTCTACAACATACCTATGAACAAAAAAAAAACAACTTTTTTAAATCAAGAATTTTGTTAAAATTGCATCCTATGATTAAACAATTGCAATTCAGTGAGGGCAAGTAATAATCATGCTATAGTAGTAAATCATTATAGCGTATATTTTTGAATCATCACAGTTTTTTTTTATAAAATTATACTAATTTTTTAGATATATTCACCTTATTTAGAAAGATGTACTCCATGATATTGCGAGACCTAATAAAAAAAATAGATACAGAATTAATAAAGAAATATTATATATTTTATATTTTACTTGTAATAATAAATTCTAATCAGAAAAATGTAACATCAAATCTATTCAGTCATATGCTTGTTAAGTACATCATAATAAAAGAATTATTGTAATATGAAAATGTATAATTATTATTAAAAAAAATTATTTACCTCTTTGATCTTTCAAAAATGCCTCCGTGATTAACACCTTATTTTCATAGATGCACGCACAATGCATTTTTTCCTATAAAAAGGCAATAGAAATTAATCACAATTATATTTATTAATAAATAAACTTTTCATAATATAAAATTTATACATCAGAAAATGGTATCACCATAATTTTATGTAAGACAGGGATAACTTAAAATCATCATAAAAACTTCTTAAGTTTACATTATAAAATAAACCTTTTTCCAAATTACCTTTTTAATACTATTTTTCTCCAAAGTTTAAGCTCTATTCTCAATTCATGTTATAAATATCATAGTTATTATCATTTATGTTATTCATCAAAATTACATATTCAACCATTTTCGTTGTTTTTATCTGAAATTAAAAGTGCATTGTTATACATTTTTTACTAAATGCAATAAATAAAAATTATATTATTGAACATAATAAATATTCAGATTCATAATATCTACATGATGTTTCTGATTGACTGGGGTAGGTAAAATTATTCATCATATTGTATTAAAATAAATAATTATAAAAGGAAGTAAAATCTAATTCCTAAAATTATATTTTACTCTTTATAAAAATAACAAAAAAAGCTTACCAAGATTATCAAGAAAATTCATTAGAATGTATTGCAAATTTACTCCTTTCATATTTTCCCTGAAAAGAATGAAAAATTTAATTTACACATTAACCAATTAAACAAATAAATACAAATTTATATAATTCTCATCAGAATAAATCAATCACTCATATAATGCTCAGACTGGGGCGATATTCTGTCATCATATTTAAAATAGACTATTAATAAAACTTCAATTTTATTTTGAAAAATTAACTGAAAATCTAGTGTGAGAAACAAAATTAATGAAAAATAATTAAAAAAGCATGAAGTGAAAATTAAAGATCATGATGAACATAACAATAAATTAAGAGAAATTTTATTCTTGTAAAATTATAATACTCACCAGAAAAGTTGCAAACAAGCCGAAACTAAACTTGATCAGCAACAGGCCATCCAAAGCACGTTTCTGACTAATTTTAATATTTTAAGCTAACTCTAGAAGAGAAACAAATCGAATCTAATTTATTAAATTAAATCATAAAAATCAACCAATTACACATCAATACATATATTCAGAGTCATATTTCTAGATTATAATCAAGGAATATATCATACGAACGAGACTATTTGCTTATCATCATACTAAAAATCAAAGATCAAAATCCAAATTCAGAACAAGCAGTAACAAAAAAAAAAGAAAATACAATAAAAAAATATGCTGGAGCGTCAATTGCTTGAAAAATATTGCATTTTTATGATGTTCTGTAATAAAGCACGTGACGACTGTGGATTATATAAAATATAAAATGTACCTACCTCACCAATTCCACCTCCGACGAAATCCAAAATGAAGGTAGATGGTACGTCGAGAAGGTTTAAATAGATGAGAGTCTTGGATTACATATTTTCAAGAGAGCTTTCATTATCTCACTTGCGCCCTCTAACAAAATTATAGTAAATTAACATAGGAATTTTGTTAATTCATGGATTACACAGAATATGTTACAATAATTGTATATTTGCAGACTTGATTCTAAACATTAAAAAGATGTAACAAAATTTATTTGAAGTATACCAATATTTTTTATAGACATGCTGCTATTAATCAGCTGAGGAATTTTGAAATAATCTATGAAGTTGATTGACACATATAAAAAAATAATTATGATACTTTTCAATGATTAAGAATGCTATTAGTTTTTCGTAATAATAATTGAAATAATAGAAATATTATAAAAATATATAATAAAATAAGTAGATATGTATATATATATATATATATGTATAGTCATTATGAACAGTACTGAGGATTATGAAAAATATTTGTTACTACAAAAATAGTAATAACAATACATTCAATACTTTATTTTTTAATAACAGATCGATTTTTATCAATTTTTAAATTTACATTAGGTGATATTTAAGTTGAATTTTCGATGATTACCGAATACATTGGGAAAATCAAGTAGAATATTTTTGTAAATTTTTTGACTTAAATCTGCTTAATATCTTTTTGTAGGAAAATTAAAAAATCTAGTCTATTTATTATTAATAAGTAACAATAATAAACTTGCAAAAATTAGTAAAATTACGAAAATTATGATGTAATTTCGTATAGTACGAGACGCGAAACATCTATGTCTTTTTACAACACCCGGTATGTGATGTATATATTTAGTTCCCAATCTCACATATTTGTATAATACTTAAATAAACAAAAAATATTTCATGATATATAAGAACATGATTTCAATATAATTGAACGAACAGGACAGAATTTTGTCTTGTCTTGGAATGAAGAAACTTGTTGCAACATGGTGTAAGACATTGATGTGAAAATTAAACTGTAATAAAAGAAATTCTTGGCTTTAAAGTATTTTTGAAATGAGTGACTTATCAGAGGACGATAGTTCTGATAGTAGCAATGAATATTTGGTCGATCCAGAGAAAATTAATTTAAATTCCAGCTTTTTCACGAAAAAGAATCCCGATGATGCAATTGTGGATAAAATCAACACCGATGATGAAGACACCGACGACGAGGATTTCGAGGATATCAACCAAACAGGCAATATTGAACTTTTCACCCAAGTTTTAAAAAACTTAGAACATTCACAAAAACTCAAATTCAATGATGAAAACGCTGAAAAAAAAGAATCGCATTCAGACTATCCTGTGTTGCAAAAAAAAGAGGCACAAAAAGTGGAAAGTGATATAAAAGATGTCACATCATCTAATGAAATAAACGAACTGTTGCTCCAAGGTGAGAGTAGTGTAAGTTCACCCTCCAAAAAGCTTTCTGTAAATGGAATAGCAAAGAACGAGGAAGATGCAGAGCTTCCTAATGAATATACTATTCCAAAGGATGGTGTCAAGATTATCTTACCAGGCACCAGTTTAATGATTAACAAAAAGAAAAAGGGAAAGCCAGATCTGAAAGCAATTTTGAGGAAACGATTAAGAGATACTCAGATATTAGTGGAGAAAGTAGGATTACTCTGTTGGTTGGCTTATGGATTTCACCTGAACCATCAGATAAATCAGCCTGAGATAATGGCTAGTGTGTTATCATTGATTTCCACTTCTAACTATCCAAAGAAGAGAATAGATCTTACATATTTAGAGAAGTTTACAAAATGGTTCAAACATATGTTCACACTTGAGTCTGTTGAAAGCAATGGCAACAAACAAATAGACAAAGAAACTTTGTTAAAAATACTGAAGGAAAAGAAGATCTCAAATTATAAGGAATTGGTATTATTGTATATTGCTACATTGAGAGCTTTGGGTTTAAATTGTAGATTAGTTATTTCTCTTTGCCCCCCTCATCGGATATATAATGATAACCCACTGTTTAAATCAGACAATAAGGAATCTGAAACTGCAACAACAAGTAAAAGTACTACAACTAAAGGGAGAAGTTCAAAGAAAAAGGAAAGTAAAAAAGAAGTTTCTGATGAAACTAATGTAATTAAGAATAGCTCAGAAGCAACAAAAAATGCTAATTCAGAAGCCAAGAAGAGGGCAGCTAAAATTTTACATTCAAAAGTACAAAACAAGAGAGTTAAAAAATCAAATACTAAAAGTACTGAAAACAAAGATGTAGCTCAACCCGCAGTACAAGAGAAAGGTCTGTCTAATTTAAGACAATTAAGATCTCATAAAATTAATACCACAAAAGTAATGAACTCTACAGACATATCTTCAAAAACAGATGACACAAAATCAAAGTATTATATAGAAGATTCAACAGATTCTGAAACAGAATTTCAGCCTAAACCAAAACTGAAAAAGAATAATGATAAAGAGGAAGTATCACAAAGTTGTAAGAACACTAGGAAAAAAAATACAAAATTAATATCCTCTGATAGCGAAGATGAAACAAATAAAACAAAAAGGAGGCAAGACATTTGGGCTGAAATATATTTAGAATCAGAGGAGAGTTGGATTTGTGCAAGCGTAATGGATGAAAAAATTCATTGTGTAACTGAAGTATATGTGAGTAATTTATTAGCCAGTTCATATTTGCCAACATGTAATAATGATTGTACTCTGTTCAGAAAAGAGCAACAAAGCCTGTATTATATGTAGTAGCTTGGAATTCCGAAGGTTTGCTAAAAGACGTGACTAGACGCTATTGTGCACAATGGCTTACAGTCACACGTAAACAACGAATTGATGAAAAATGGTGGAGTGAAACCTTGTCTTATTGGAAGGAAAAAAATACTGCCATTTCTAGAGCCGAAGATGAAATGCTGTTACAAAAGTATTTAGGCATATTTATTTATTACAATACGTATATTTATTTGTTTAACAATTTCATTAAATTGCAGGGAATTAGAGCAACCTTTGCCTAAAACGATTAGCGAGATCAAAGGTCATCCGTTATATGTCATTCAAAGACATTTACTCAAATTTGAGGTATTATATCCTCCAGATTGTGTTCCTCTAGGACATACTTCTACGGGTGAAGCTATTTACTCTCGTCACTGTGTACATACGGCTCGTTCAAGAGAAACTTGGCTTAAACAAGCCAGAGTTGTGAAACCTAATGAAGAACCTTATAAAATAGTCAAATCTCGTCCAAAATACGATAAGGTACACATGATTTCCTCATTCGTAAATGTTGTCTATGAAAGACGATAATTAAACTTGTAAAATGATTTAATTGCAACAGCTTTCCGGATTGAAAATTAAGGATTCACCGTTAGAAGTATTTGGTGAATGGCAAACTATGGAATATGAACCACCAGTAGCCAAAGATGGTATTGTTCCACGAAATGAGTATGGAAATGTCGATCTGTTCAAACAATGCATGCTTCCAAAAGGCACCGTTCATATAAATCGTAAGTTACTGAAGAATTAATTAAATGTATAAATTATTCGTTCTGAACTAATTGTATATGTAAAAATAAATAGAAATAATAGAGATAAAAATTGAGACTAATATATTATAACATAGTTCCAGGATTGAATCGAATTGCCCGTAAACTTAACATTGATTGTGCACCAGCCGTGGTAGGCTTTAATTTCGGAGGTATGGGTGCAGTGCCTGCAATTGAAGGCTACATCGTTTGTTCTGAGTACGAGGATACTTTGCGAGAAGCTTGGGAAGCTGAACAAGTTGAAGCAGTTAAACGAAATAAAGAAAAACAAGAGAAACGAATTTATGGAAATTGGAAGAGACTGATTCAAGGTTTGCTTATAAGAGAACGACTGGCAGCAAGATACGAGTTTTCGCAAGAAACTAAAACATTAACTAAAAAACGTGCGAAAGATAAGAAAACGAGCACAAAGAAGACTAAAGTATTTTAAATCGTAAAACGAAATTATCGGTTTATTTTGTAAAAACGTTAGTGATATTAACAGGAATGATACTATGCACTTATTATTACGTTGTATTACTATTTATAATATAAACTAAGAATGAATTAAATATATAAGAAATTTTCTAGGAAACTCTTTACTATAAAGAATCATACGAATTAGATTCTTATAAATTAAATATGTATAAAATTTTAATATATATGTGTATATACAATATGAAGAGAAATACATGAATTTTTCGTTCGGTATTTTTCAAATTGTATTTTCTACAATTTATTTAAGTATTGTTTCAATATTTTTCAAAAGCATTGTAATTATTAAGATCGTTTTGTAGATTGTTTTGCCAATTGATTGATATTAATATAATATATTAGCGATAATTATGGTATTTAATTTATATACGACATTTCTATAAAATGTACATACAAGTAGTCTACATAAAAATAGTCAATTTTTAAAAAATAAATTGATATGTATATATACAGGTAACGTATGTATGTGTCTGTCATGTCGCACGCTGTTGCTCTCCTTGTCTACCGTACAGATATGTCTGTCCTTGTCCCACGCTATCGCCCTCCTTATTTACCGCGCAAATATGTCTGTCCTTGTTGCACACTATTGCTTTCCTTGTCTATCGCGTTTATATGTCTGTCCTTGTCGCACACTACTGTCCTCCTTGTCTAATGACGCTAGACAAGGAAAGCAATAGTGTGCGACAAGGACATCCTTCGATCTATTGAAAAAAAAATTCAACTTTTTACATACACGTTTCTCCAGGACAAAACACACATAGAAAGAAAGCGAGGAAGCTAATTTTAAGGAGGCATATAAGAAAGTTCGCAAATTATTCCTCTTAATTAGGTTTTTTCGTAATTAGTGTAAACTGTCACAAAATGGGCACGGTGGCGCCATCTAGCGGTAACTCACTGGTACTAATTATTTATGAAAATACTTATTTCTGCATTTTACGGGTCAAATGAGATATGAAAAGAAAGCTAAGGGTCTAATTAGGGTAGTACAATCGCCAAAGTTCACCATTCATTTCGCTAAATTAGGTTTTTTCGCAAATGAAAATTTCTCTGTTTTACGGGGTAACAAACACTAGCGCCGCGTTGTGGCAGACCGGTGGAACTAAACGCTCTATAACCATATAAGAAAAATAATTAATTTTAATTTTTCACGCCACAAATTTGCACTCCACGAGCATATATTTCAAAGATAATACTATTAATTACATTCGCAAATAAATCTGAATCAAATATTCACTATAGTTTGCAAGAAATTATGCGCACACTACTGGCAGTGCTACTGACGTAGACGAAACATTCAAACATTCTTTATATACGTAAATTATACTTAAACAAAACATAGAACGCAAGCTAAGGGTCTCTGAAATCAAATACGCAACCATAACAGTTCATAAATGATTCCTCTTAATTAATTTCTTCTCGTAATTTCTGGAAAAACTGTCACCTGTCGTTTGGAAGAAATGGTGGCGCCATCTATTGATAACTCGGTGGTACTAAAAACAGAATTTTTTACTTTTAGTACCTCTGAGTTATCAATAGATGGCGCCACCATTTCTTCCAAACATTGACAGGTGACAGTTTTTCCAGAAATTACGAGAAGAAATTAATTAAGAGGAATCATTTATGAACTGTTATGGTTGCGTACTTGATTTCAGAGACCCTTAGCTTGCGTTCTATGTTTTGTTTAAGTATAATTTACGTATATAAAGAATGTTTGAATGTTTCGTCTACGTCAGTAGCACTGCCAGTAGTGTGTGCATAATTTCTTGCAAACTATAGTGAATATTTGATTCAGATTTATTTGCGAATGTAATTAATAGTATTATCTTCAAAATATATGCTCGTGGAGTGCAAATTTGTGGCGTGAAAAATTAAAATTAATTATTTTTCTTATATGGTTATAGAGCGTTTAGTTCCACCGGTCTGCCACAACGCGGCGCTAGTGTTTGTTACCCCGTAAAACAGAGAAATTTTCATTTGCGAAAAAACCTAATTTAGCGAAATGAATGGTGAACTTTGGCGATTGTACTACCCTAATTAGACCCTTAGCTTTCTTTTCATATCTCATTTGACCCATAAAATGCAGAAATAAGTATTTTCATAAATAATTAGTACCAGTGAGTTACCGCTAGATGGCGCCACCATGCCCATTTTGTGACAGTTTACACTAATTATGAAAAAACCTAATTAAGAGGAATAATTTGCGAACTTTCTTATATGCCTCCTTAAAATTAGGTTCCTCGCTTTCTTTCTATGTGTGTTTTGTCCTGGAGAAACGTATATGTAAAAAGTTGAATTTTTTTTTCAATAGATCGAAGGATGTCCTTGTCGCACACTATTGCTTTCCTTGTCTAGCGTCATTAGACAAGGAGGACACTAGTGTGCGACAAGGACAGACACATAGACGCGATAGACAGCGTGCGACAAGGACAGACATATACAGAGTGTTACCTGCAACGCGACGCACGATTTTTCACCCACTTACAGCCATCTGACAAAAAAAGTTTGGAACAAAAGTCGAACGGTAGAGGGTGTACAGTAGGTGTCAATAAAAAAATTCAAAAACTGTTTGTTTTAATAACAAAAAAAAAGGTCACTTTGGATTAAACAAATAGGAACACATAATTTTTTTCCCACCGTATTGTAGAGAACATCGAGACGAATTCAAAACACATATTACATGATATTTTTATTAACATGTTACTCCAGTTACAATAGTGGAAATTTGAAACATTTAGCTTCTCGTCGTATTTGATTCTAAGACCATGTAAACATAGTTGATAGATTACTGAATATAAACATAGGCTTAACATAGGATATAAACCAAGGACACCAACTGTACGCCCTCTACCGTTCAACTTTTGTTCTAAACTTTTTTTTTGTCAAATGGTTGTAAGTGGGTGAAAAATCGTGCGTCACGTTACAGGTAACACGCTGTATATATATATATTTGTATAAATTGTTTGTTTATCGATCTATGACCGTTACTATTTGAATATTATCGATATATCGATATACTACAGAAAGTGGGATTTGCACTTTGTATATATACAAAAGTATTTACTAAACAATATAGATTAAATCTTTTATGAAAAAACTTTTTATAATACTTTTATTTTAAATTTTGAATTTAAAATGGATCCAGAATATTATAGTAGTTTATATAAATGGTAAGTTGTACAAAATATAAAAACTAGAAGATATTTTGAGGTTAAATTTCTCAAACAATAACTTCTATTTCAATATTTAATTTTATATTTTAGGTTTGAAAAATGTGGAGTAATATCAAACATAAGAACGCATCTTCGTCAAAATTTAATAAATGCGTTAAAAAGTAAAAATATTACTTTAAAAGATTATGGGCCCAAATCTGCAAAGCAGTATATTTACGATCTACTAATAGCAGAATATTTATTGAATCATAATTACGAATATACACTATCTGTATTTGCCAGCGAAGCACCATTGTTAGTTAATTTTTCTAACAAGACAGTTGAAATATCTGGTGACAATGAAAAGGATAATAAAAAATTACAAAATGATTATATATTGCATGTTTTGGAAACGTTAGGTATTAATCCTCGTGATCCTGAAGGACAATATGTTATATCACAATACACAAAAAATGATATGCCTCTTCTTTTATGTATATTGAAGTCTATAACTATGTTCTCTTATAACATACACAATGATGTACCAATAAAAGAAAAAATATCTCTGTGTAATGAATCCACTCAAACTGAAGTTTCTTGGCAACTTAATAATTTTTATACAAAAAAATTAACTGTTTTGAAAAGCAAGATATCAGCGCATAAACAAATGATGGATAATAAATTACGTAGGAAGGAAATGATATTGAAAGAGCAGGCAGTGGTCATTAAGGACCAACTTTTAATATTAAATACAAAATTGCATCAAGTTCAGGTAATGATAATTTTTATTCTATGATTTTAATTTAATTAGGAAATTTTAATTAATTTAATTAATAAAATAAGGAAATATAAATCTTTTTTATAGAATATGATACATAATATGAATTTGAGAGAAAAACAACTAAAAGAAAAAATACAGAATAATAAACAAGTTTTACAAAAAGAAAAGGAATTAACATTGAAGGAAAAATTATTATTACAAAAAGCAGACAGGTACATCTATGAATCATAATATTAAATTAATAATTGTTTGTATCATACATTCTGATTTCCGTAGATTGCAAAGGGAACAAGAAGATCTTAAAAAACTAGAAGAAGAATTTAAAAAAGTTCGTATGCAGAGAGGTGTACAGACTGAACATACAGTAAAATTATCTAATCATTTTTTACAAAGCATTGAAATACAAACGGATATTGTAAAGGATGTACAACAGGATAAAATTGAAGTCCTCATTAAAGAAAAAGAAAAATTAAATGCTCTTATTCAAGAGCAACAATTAAGAATAGAACAAATAACACAACGAGCTCTTCAGTTGTCTCGACAAGTGGAGGGAATACGCTCGTTGAGACCAACTGAAGTTCCAACACAAACTATTAATGCGAATACAGTTATTAGCGAAAGCAGCTCAACAGAAGATATTCTCCAAGATGCAAAAATGAGACTTAAACGTTTAGAAGAAGAAAGTTTAAAAGCGGATCAGTATTATCATAATTTTATTAATAAATCGCAGTAACATATAACATAACTTACAGTAATCTGATAGAAATAAAATAAAGAAAAATCAAAAAATGATGATTTATATAATATTTATGTCAGTTTTCTTTTGCATAAAAAAAAATTAATGTTTTCTGGATTTTTAAAAAAACATCAGGAATAATAAACGAAACAAGCGCTATATCAATGATTATTTATTACGTTCATTGATAATTCCTATTATAAATTATATAAAATTTTAATCGTATATACAAATTTAAGACTGAATAGAACAAAGTGCTTTTATTACCTAGTTTATTTTATAAAATTGGACGTTAATATAATATACAAATTATTCTCTATCTTTTTTCTTTATTATTTGAATTCTACCTTAATTACATGCAACACCAAACGTAGTATATAAAATGTTAAGTCAAATTCTTTCCATTGTTGTACATCATCTCCGTTTAGGATCCGAACTTCTCCTAGTACTCAGAATTAAGGATTATATTTCTTTATCTTTTAAAATAATACAAACGATTTTTATACAGAGTTTACGAAGTATAATATTTTTTTCGATTTTTAGCATGTGTCTTTAAAGGATATTGTTTGTCCCGGCTTTCACGGCCTTCCCGTTCATGAGTACGCTCCTTTGTGTAGGGTGACTTTTCCTGAAAATACATTCTCATATGAATCTTCTGAATGTCATGTTATCTTGCAATTGGCGTTTGGGTATTTGATAGTATCACCTAGTTTTTCTGGTCTTTGCTATTGTCTCCCATTTCGTCTTTTCAATGTACTCGAAGCGGACGTCTTTATCAACTAAGGGGTCAAGGAATAGTGTTAGAAAAATTATTAAAAAGTTAATTTATGGGGAGAAATGTTTGGGACAAAATGTAAGATTGATGTAATGGGATATACGAAAAAAGTGTAGCACGTTTTTTTCGAAATGTGTTGTCTGTCTATCAATAGGATTGTTATCGCGAATGTATAAAAATACATGGGAAAGACAAGTAATGACCTACTTATGACCATTTTTAACAATACACAAATACCTTAGAGAATCTATTAAATTCGAATAAAATGTCGTACGAATAAAGTATTCGAAATTATTCGAAATTATTCGAACACGTCCTAATAAAAATATAATTTCTTATATCTTCGACAATGAATAGCAGAAAATTTCAATTAGAATTACTAACCTTGTTGTAGTGATGCTTTTCTCTATGCTCGGGGATATCACCATTTTGATGTGTTCCTTTCGCTGAAAGCAATTTTTATTACTTAATTATAAAGAAACTGAGATTAAAATAGATTTTAAATTATTGGAAAAATTTTCTACCTTTCTCATCATCTTTTCTTCTTTTCTGTTCATTTGTCACTGCTGATTCATCTGTTCTATCCTGCAAAATATGAAATAGAAATAAATTATATTATATTCAGAATATGTTATTAATAAGTCATTTACTAAAAACTCGAAACATACCCTTTTTCGTGCGAATTTCTTTTCTCTGCGCAATTCTTTCTGTTCATCTCTTATTTTGCCTTTGCTTGAGCGTTCCTTTTTGTCGAGACTTCCTTCGGCACGTCTCCCCTCCTGTTAACATTAAAAATCCAACCACATAATATATAAAAAACATTATTGTAAAATTTAATAATTCTTACCTTTTGTACATTTTCAACTTTTCTTCTTTTGGCATCTGAAATTAGAGAGTATCAGTTTTGGATTATCAATTTGGAATAAAAGATATATATATTATATTTTTTGTTGAAGTATATTTTTTTACTAGATCGTTTTTTCAACATAAGCTTTATACTCCCTAAAAAATACTAGAAGTAAGAAAATTTTGATTATGTAATTTCATGGCACGTATTTATAACTTTTTAATGCAAACCTCTGTCTGATCCATCTTGTGTTGGTCCGGAACTAGCACTACTATTTGATACACTAGAAAGATCACGGTCTAAATTATCTACAGCACTGCCATAATAATGTTCCTCCTGTAAATTAGATTAAGAACATGGTAATACGGTTATTACGTAATATAGTTTGCAAAAAATTTATAATTACTTTGTAGTATTTTCGGTCTTTTTTATCTATCGTGTCATCTTCCTTGATTTCGTCCTTTTTTAAATATTTGTCTTTCCCTTCTAGACTTTCTTTGCTTTCTTCCTTTTTCCTAATTTTTTCCGAACTTTCACTGCATTTAATGAAAATTCAGTAACAATTTTTAATCGTTTATTCAATGAAAATTAAAATACGTATTACGCAACTTACTGATGCAATTGATTCGATGCACTTCGTTTTTCTCGTTGATCTTTTTCTTTCTCTAATCTGGTGTCGCCGTTTGTAATCTCTTTACCCGATATTCCATCCCCAACTTTCTCGGAGACATCACTATTTGGAGTATCTTGCGTTTTTCCAGCCTGTCAAAAAAAATGCAGGAATTACTTTTCAACGAAGAAAGATAATACCGAATGAACGAATAATTGATAATAAAACAGACCTTATCCCCCACGTGATGAAAATCTGCCTCGCGAATCATATTCGGAGTTTTGGCCTTTAGTTGGCCACTGTACGATGTAGCCAGGACGTGTAAATCTTGGCGTTGCCCACGTTCTTCCTCTCTCACTTTCTCTACTTTACGTTCAAGAATTTGTGATAATTTTGCCAAGACAGGAAAATGTGGCAATATTTTTATTAATATTATCAAGGAATTTCTTATTTGTACATAGTCCTTAGAATCCAAACAAACTACAATTGCCTGTAAATATGATGTATATTGATTTACAGCCGGAAAGATAATCTTGACGCAAAGTCATTACCTTTGTGATTTTATAATGCCACTTGTGGCACACATGTCTATAATTTTCAAATCCTACCATATCGTTAGCTTCAGAGAATTGATTGCTAACACGGAATTTCGTTACGAATCCCGGATAATTGCTACATTCCTAAAATAAGAATATGTGTATTAATAAAATTTTGGAGGTTCATCGAATTTGTTGTAAATTAATATACCTTATCGAATATAGCTTTCTCAGAATGCCATCTCATCACTGTTTCCAGCATGGCGCATAAAAATCTTCCATAACGATTTGCTTCATTTTCGGTACATGAGGTAACTGAATATGTTATATCACAGAAAAGCTGAAAGATTTTTATTTTTATTATATGATAAATAATGCAGTATTTAATACACGAAGCGCTTTCTTTTCGGTAAATTATCCTTACTCTGTCATAGCAAAGAAGAGTTGAAAAATTCGCAGTCTTCAAAGAATGTATGGTGTGAACGAATTTAGCGCAATACATGGCATCCACGGTTGTAAATGTACATCGAGGAAAGAGACATAACTGTAGGAATTGCGTTATCGTTTCATTCTTCGCTGATTTTGCGCTTCGAGATAAAAACCATGTATCTTTTTCTTGCCTAATAAATTGGTATTAATAAAGCAATAATATTACAGTAAAATTTTGCAGTAAAATGTATAAATATTAAATTGAACAAATTTTACCTTAGATATGCAAATACTTTTTCAACATGTTCCTCCTGCTTTCTTCTTTCGTCTTGTAGTTTCTCAATTAGAGTCGTATACCTTTCTTGCTCTTTCTTTCCCTTACTAACATTCTGAAAGAAGAAAAAAGTACATTAATTTAGGAATGAACTATAAAAAATTACCGTCAGAATAAAAAGGTATGAACACACCACATCTTTGGAATCCGCGCTTTGTGCCGCGAGTTGCTTTAATTTGTTAATTTCTCTCTGATAACTCTCAACGGGAACATACAGATCGTACATAGACAACGACCAAAATGTCACTAGAAATTGTGGCGAAATATCCTCCCATACTTTCAATGGATGTAAAGGTCTGACTGATTGAGCAACAGGTGCCATAACTGCTTGTGCAGCTTCTGCATATTTTGCTTGTTTCATAGCAGTCGACATTTTTTTGTAATTTGGATCAGCTTTACGCAAGGCATCGTACTTAATCTGGAAACAGAATTGAATAATAATGATAATTCATGGTTATTTATTCGTATACGATTGTGATATTAAAAAAAAAAAAAAAATGGTGATAATCACGTTAATGGCGTGTGCAAACATTGGTCTTGCAAGAAAAAATGCGACATCAGAATGTATATGATTGTCCTGGAGCATAGAATGTATGGAGGGAAGTCTTTCCACGTATTCATCTACTGTCATAGTGGATCCCAAGAAAGTACCAAATTGGACTAATGTATCTTGACACTGATCGTACAGTTTACCTATAATTTTAAAAAATTTATAATAAAAAATTTACTAATAAATTTTTCTCTTGAAACATCAACAAAATTAAATATTGTGATAGAGCTTACCAACGAGTTTAAGATGAGACTTATCCGTTTCCCTATACACAACGCAGTGTTTTTGTTGTGCCATTAAAAGGCATAGCGCTACGGCAAGATCATGTTCAGCTAGAGCTTCTTTTAATCGTTGAGATGATTTTTTTGTATTGCGTACTTGACTAAAATAACCGGCCTGAAATTTTTCATATAACTGTAGGATTTCTTATAATAGATATGTATATAGATATGTGTATATAGATATATAGATATGTATATAAATTTTAATAAAATTACTTCATTCTTCAATAAATCTCCACCTGCCATGGCATCTAATTGATCCGAAGTCATTTCCTCAGCGGCTTCGATACCTGCCATCTTTTGTACTATTTCTTTCAATATTAATAAATCTAGACTGAAAACAAAAATAAGTAATATGATTATCATTTAATATTCTTATTACGCAGCATTACGTGGTTTTCATAGGAGTTATTATATAAGATCCATTGCGAATAACAATGATTGTTAATGAATGTTTTTAAATAAAATAAAAATGTAAAAATAAACGTAAAAACTAAGACAGTAGATGTAATAGCTATGAGTTTTTTGTATAACGTTGCAATATAAACGAATTTATATGTTTAAAAATTATCAGACAACTCTAATTTTTTTCCCTTAATTTTTTTAAACCTATTGTAATAAGATTTAAATCCCTCTTTTATATTTTACAAAATATAAATTTACTAATAATGCTATTTCCTTAATGTGTGACATTCGTAATCTAATCCTAATTCTTTTTCTTCTTTTCTTTTTTTAGATACATTGTATTTTGCGACAAAGAGCTCCACTGTTTCCTTTCAAAACTATTACAAAGAATCCTTGTTTCATACTTTTTATTGCAGAGATTCATACATTTAACTAGTCTATATCACCTTTCGTTTTATATCTGTTCCATTCAAATTATATTATCCAAAGCCTTTCATCCATTAATTAAAATTTTGATCTTTTTCTCTTTTTTACAAATTTTTTACCTAGAAAGAAAAAGTATAATGCAAAATATGTTAACGTGTCTGAAACATGCTTTCATCAACATTAAAATTTCTTAAATAGATATTAAAGCAAATTCTATAAAATAAATATCTAGTATTTACCTTGTCCTTCTAGGCTTTTATTGCATTGGTGGCAATATTTCTCACCAATCATATTCTTTAAATCTTAACTTATTAATTTTCTCAGTCGTTATCAATCGAATAATTCTATTATCCCATGTTGTTGACATCTTATGATCATTGATATCTTTTTAATATACCAGTAACTGAATTTTAATTATTGTATTTAATTCAATATAAAAGTGAGTTCTTTTATTTTTTTTATATTTATTCATTTATTTTTTTTTCACGACTGTTTTCAATCATTATTTTTCCTTATATTTTAATTACCTTTATAGATAAAATATGTATGAATATGTATCCCATAAATCATTTGTATTTCATTATTCCAAAATAGCAAATTCTTATTTCATTAAAATATATTGTGATTCATAATTATTCATTAATCCAGAAATAAATAAAATCCATAGAATTTGCTTCAGAATGTCAAACATTTATATCAATTTATATCAATCTCCTTCAACTATTTGCATTGGATTTTTATGGAATTTTGAGTGGATTAATATATAAAAAACGAAAATATTACATTACAATCAAAGATATGTTTGAAAAACATGAAGAGAGAATCTTATATTGCCACACTTTTGAGATTATCATTGGCAATGAAAATTTTGTAAATTTTATTTAATCAATGATATTGAGTGTTTCCATTTATGAACTATTACTGCAGAATGACAGTGTATGTATGTTCACTGCAATTAAAAGTCTTCATAGTACATTTATTATAATTTAATCAATTCTTTTTTTCATGTATTCATGAGCAATAATTATTTTGAAATTACAAACAGTGGATCAAAATTTGTATTTTAACTTTTTTTAGTTTTTGCTTTAGTTTTGAATATCTCCTCTGCAATATTATACATACACTTAATTACAACCATGTTTATGAAAACTCTCTATTTAAAAAAAATTCACTGTTTGTCTGGATAGATTTTAGCAAAAAATTCAAATACAATTGACAAGTTTTATGTATTTAAATGTAACCTTGAGAACATAATATATATTTAGTAAAAATATTCTTGTGACTAACAGAAAAAAAATTGTGATTTATTAATAATTTGTATTAATATTACCACTGAAAAGTACGACAATATATTTTAACTTCCTTTCTGTGTGGTCTGTTTTTTACTAAACAACAAATCAAAAAAAAAAAAATATAGAATCTTCTTTGTTTAGCTGTTTAAAGAATAAAAGATTATTATTTTTTATTTAATTAATTAAAATTACGAAAAATTGAGCAGAAAGAGATTAAAAATATCACATTAACAATAATTATTCTTAATAATTAACTTAAAAAATTCTAAAAATTCTTCAATAAATTGTTACAAAATGAAAAGGAATCAAAGTTTATAATATGATCTATACAACATGAAATAAATAAATTATTATATATTAAAAAAAAATTAATTTATTCAATGTAATGTACCTTTTTTGTGCTTTAAGTTGATTAGCTACATATTGCAGCAAACCAGTAAGTTCTATATTATACTTTTTAAATATGGCTCCGCAAAATGAAGCAAGGGATTGGAGCCAAAGAGATATGCTGGTGCCATCATGCTTAAATCTATCTCTGTCAGCACCAGCTAAAGCTTCTACGAGACAGTAACCAAGTACATCATAAGAAATGTTAGTCAAATATTTCAAGGAATCTACAACAGGACCTGCAACCCACGAAACAACAAAAATTATTTAAAACATAGAACTTGAAATTTATGTATCTTTTGTAGAATTACTTGCATACCTATAAGATTATCATATAACTGGATTTGTATAAGAACGTAATCGAACAATACACCAGGTGACGAATGTGTAAGTTTGCCTATCGATCTTCCTACGGGCTTTATGGTTTCTTTGCTCACTCTTTTCATAATAGACTTAATTTTCTTTTGCGCATCTGCCCTTTTTCTTAAAAGCGCAGCATGCTGCAAAGGCGTGTCGTTCTTCCATCGGGCATACAAACAGTATCGATTCTGATATGGATAGTACTTTAAAATGTTCCACAATTCTTCTGCAACGCAACAGTTGCAGTCCATAAAAGACAATGAAGGCAATAACGCCACGTCGAGAATAGTCAATACGTCGTAATACAAAGTATTTTTATCAACTGGTTGCTTATTGGTGTCTAATGGACACTGTTTTATTGCTGCATGACACAATCGCATGATCTTGTACATCAGAACGGGATCATGGTGTAGATTGGGACCGAGGACTATGAGCATTGGTAATAATTGATCATGAATGTCCTCAAGACTCTCGATTGGCTTTGGAGCAAGGGAGCTCTTTAATTGCGGAATTCTTCTACCTTGTAATTTTGGTGATATTATACAATGTCTGGAATATGACGTAATAACACAGTATCAGAAAATTTAATTATAATAACACACTTCGAATTCATTTCATTGAATTTTCGAGAGTAGATATACGAATGTAAAATAGAATTTAATTACTTGCGATAAACAGGTTCAATAAGAGACTGAATCATTTTGCACAGCGCTAATGCAATAGGACGTTGATCGGTGAGACTGTGTTCAGGTAATCGATTAAATAAGTTTTCTGCTACTTCCCAAGCTCCTATTTCTAGAAGTGCTTCACATAATCCGAACTTTTGATTACTTGCGTACTTATCCTTTTTAAAAAAAGCAACAGCATTAAGTAAAATCTTTTTCAATGATAAAATCGAATAAAATAAAATCATAATTGTTCAGGTACCTGTGGATTTTCCTTCTCTTCCGGTACGTCTTCCTTATCTTTCGTAGAAATTACACTCAACTTGCGAACGTATTCTTTCGCCTGTTTCATTGCTTGTTCGTGTTCTTTGATAATTGTCTTATCATCTGGCACTAACCATGGCAATATATCGTCCAATTTAATGACACCGTGTTGCAACATAAGTGCAGTAACTTTTTGCAATGAAAATGGAGTAGCATTGACAGTCGAACAATATTTAAATCCTAAAACTTCGCAGAGTACCTGCTGATCACTCATGTACGAGCGAATTAAAGGGATAAAAAGCGCATCGTCTTGAGGTCGATTCTCAAAAGTTTCTAATAAAATATCGAGCACCCTGTTAGGGTCGAGATTAAAATATCCTAAAAGAATTATATAGTCGTGTAGTTCTGTTCATTACCATGACGTGTACGATTCAAGATATGTGTCGGAACGAAATGTTTTACCGATAAGAGACTTAACAATTTCCAATATCGATGCTACTTCATTTTCTGGACGTTCCTGATTCAACTCCACTACAAGTTTAGAATATCCTTCGCTTTCCTCTCGAAATAAATTAAACTTCCGTTGTTTATAACTGTAAATAAACATTTTACATAATTTTTTTCTTTACTCACTTAACTTTTACACTGGACATTGTATTTAAACAAATAGGAAAGATACATACTACAATTTTGTCTTCACTTTGATGAATTTGATTTGGAAATTTTTATTTTTCAATGTTCCTACATCTTGCAATGTGTCAATGTCTAAACGTTCCTTCAATATCCTATCTGTGAGAAACTATATAAAAAGCAAATGACATAAGTTAATTATGCCATTAGAAGTATTTTAATAGATTGTTAATAATTCAGTCATTGTTGCTATCTTGCAAAATGATACCTTTTCTGATTCTTTTACAAGATAGTAAAAATTATTTCTTTCTTCGTTATGTGCCTCCGCGTCTATCAGTGTAAATATATCCACTATCGCAGATGATATTGCCGCATCAATATTCTGCAAAAAAAAAGAAAAAGAATGTATTTTAAGTAAGAGAGAACAACAGAATTACTTGATTAATAATTGCCAAAAGCAAACTATTGCAATATTGTCGAACTTACTGTTAGTTCACCTAATGTCTGAACAACATTGTCCCTTTTTATGTTTCCACGGATTCCATTTGAAATTAATTCGTATAATCCTCTTCTCCATTCTAAAAGTAAAGATAATATCGTACAATGATCATAACAAAATACAGAAATATGAAATAAATGTTATTTGTTAAAAGATATCTCAGAAATATTAATTTACAAAAATATATATACATTCGCGTATGTGAAAAATAAGAATAATATAAAATTGATAAAAAACCGAAAAATCATAACAAACTGCCGTTTATTAAACTCATTAAATTCATTGATGATAAATATTTACATTACTGGATAAAAGAATCTAAGGAAACAATAATGGTTAAATATGTTTTATGGTCTTTCAACATTCAATGATATTTCTTACATATTAAAGAGGAGAGGAAAAAGTATATTATAAATTGATGTATTACTTATAAAATAATGATAATGCAACGTAAATAATGATTGATTAAGATGGGTGAAAAGTTGTACACTATGTGTGAAAATATGGCTCAAGCTGTTGGGATAAATTCGAATAGCATGAAATCTCACCTGCAGTGTTGCCTTCCTTAAATTTGTGCTTGATTAACTTGAGGCTGCAAACAGTTGTTAATTGACAATTAACTCTTCAGAAGAGCGAGAAACAGGAGAGATAAGTTGCAACCATCAATTGCACAGAAGTATGCAGTATCAATTCAATATTAATCGAATCGCACTTTCGGACGTTAACGCGTTAACCACTTACAAATCGTTTTTTCCATGTTTATCCCATGCTTTCCATATATCTGTACTCCACACTTTACCAGCCATTTTAATTCCATGAAAAGCTTTTTTATGATTAAAAACAGTTGTATCAACATCACAGGTTAATAGACTCCATTTTCCACCATTGCAAGCGTCCTCGAAGCTATCGTGGCGCGATCTTTCTTCCGCCATATATCATATCTAGTTTGGTATCTTTACTGGCAACAGATTTCCCTCAATTAGTAAATTAATTTACCAATAAAATATCAGATAAAAGAGGAGGTAAACAATTGCCGTTAATTGAGTATAAAATTAGCTCGAAAAGTTCTTTCCACGGTTTTGTTTCAGACTTGACTTTGACGTTGTAAAAACTGCTTGGATAAAATTAGCAGGTTGTTCTCTTGAACTTTTCATTTGTGAAAAAGACGCTTGTATCATAATAATGTATATACATAGGAAATATAAATGTATAATATTGATTTATTCTAAAAATTAAAGTTATATTTCATGTACGGGAAAATGTACTTTGCCCAACGGGTTAAAGTTTATGCGATGAAAATCTAGGGGGCACTAGATTCTAATGTATTACAGAACAGAAAGCTACGTTTTCGAATATTGATGAGGTATTAATTAAAATTAATAATAATAACATAATGAAAAATGATTAGTTGAAATTTCAACGAAAAGATTTTACAAATTCTTTATTAATAAGTTATAGTATTAATAAGTCATTTTGTTATTCTGGTTTCCCTTTAAATCACGCAAGTTATTTTACTTATTTTGTATTTATAAAAAAATATGTTGTTTATCTTATATATATATACATATATAGCATATAAATGTAATTATAGATTATTGATTTATTCTAAAAATTAAATTTATATTTTATATAACACTAGGGAACAACCAGCGACCTTTAAATGGCTTCATTAATGACTTCGTAATTATTTATATAACATATGTAATAATGTATAAATTATCAATAATTTTATTAGCCTGATATGTTTATTAAGTTTTAAAAATACATTTTATGGATTAAATCCTACTAAAATATTCCTATCAAAAATCGATGATTTTAGGAACGCAGAGAACTTCAGTTCTTTTACGCTCGACCGTAGAATAGGGAGGTAATATCAGTTTCTCTTGAAATAAAATCAATCAACATCTGATTGTGTATTATTAATAATAATTAAGTTTTGGTATAATTACATCGATTAATTATTGTAGAACAATATAATTTTTATATTACCGTCGATAATATAACATGTTTTGAAATTAGAACATGCTGTAACTATTTTGTTTACTACTTTTTCTGTGTTTAACATAATTTACACAATTGTAAAACTTGTTTTGTCCTACAAATATATATTAATTTTGTAAGAATGTATATTCTACATTTGATTTTTTTTAAAAGAATCATTTTACATAATCCTTTTTTTTTATTATGACAGATTATTTGGTTATGTCACATTGTAATTTTGTTTTCAGTATAAAATGGCGAAATCGAAGGAAAAGAAAAGCAAAAGTGCTATTAACGAGGTTGTTACTCGTGAATATACAGTGAACCTCCACAAACGTCTCCATGGAGTTGGATTCAAAAAACGTGCTCCACGAGCCATCAAAGAAATTCGCAAATTTGCTGAGAAACAAATGGGAACTCCAGATGTGAGGATTGATACACGACTCAACAAACAACTTTGGTCTAAAGGAATTAGGTAAATTCTTAAATCTGATTTAATTTACAATTATCTATGATTAATCAGTGTCTGAATTTCTTAGAATTTTATTGTATTAATCTATATTTGTATATTCTTAGGAATGTACCATTCAGAGTTCGTGTACGATTAAGCAGAAGAAGAAATGACGATGAAGATTCTGCCAATAAGCTGTATACCCTTGTTACGTACATACCAGTTAGTTCATTCAAAGGTTTACAGACAGAAAATGTTGACTCAAGCCAAGATTGATTTATTTCTAATTAATAAATAGGTTTCACCAATCTTTGCCTTGATGATTATTTCTTTAAATCTCAATTAAATCTCTTTAAATTTCATTTATTGATCTTTCTGCTTTTTACTTTTTTAATGTTTAAGTTCAATTTTTTTTAGACTGCAAATATAATATTTAAAAAACCCATGTTTGATATTCAACCAAAGATATTAAAGATCATTTATTCAAAAAATATTGCGCTGAATAAATTAAAGAAATTTTGGATTTTAAAATGCTCAAATATAAAAAATTTTTACAATCTGATATTGTCGATCATCGATACATATCGATTACGATGTAACCATGTATACATTTTCCACATTATAATGTTCCCAGCCAACTCTCACTGTAATATGCTACAAACTAGTAACATTTCATGCATCATATGGCAACTATGGCTAGTGTAAAAATCTTATCATACTCGATCAACTTCAAGAAAGTTTATTATTCGTATGGATTCTGGCATTACGATACTGTATTACGGCTCGAGTAGTGTATATTCTGAAATAGAAGCAGTGAGTTGAGTGTAAGTAATATCGAGTGATCGTATAAACGCGCGCTAATAATACGCGCTTCCCTGTTAATTTTATTAATCCCTAGCGAAATAATTGGCTTCATCCTTATTTATAGTTGCGCTAATATAAGTTGATGATCATTTATTAAAACGCCAAGCGCGAATCTATCAATCCGTATCGCTTTATTTACATGAGTGTCGGCACGAATTTTTTTTTTTAATTTTAGTTCGCCGGCCTCGCATTTTATCAGAGTATTCTTAGTAGTTTTATTTCGGCGCTTTGTAATTATTTGTATGGTCAGAGCGTCGCGTCTCATCGAGGTTGCATTTGCATTCAATAAGGTTTCAGATAATAAAGTCCATTGTTTATTGTACCATGCAAAACGCGGTTAGTATGTGCATTATAGTTAGAGAAACATAAATTGGCAATATATGATTTGATTTGAGCATAATATTTATTTTAACATTTATTTTAATATTTATTCACTTAATTCGATTCGGTTAGCCAGTGATCGATCACGCGACTACTTTTTATCAAGTAAATCGCGCACATAATTAAGTCCGTGGGAACGGATGTGACTACACGGTGAAAAAATTTCGTTCCCACATTTCTTTTTTACTTTTACCGTATCATCCTTCGTGCGAGGTTTCCTGTAACAGGTATATCTTGGTATAATCAATTTTCTATAAGAGAAAGAAAAAAATAATTGTATCGGAAAAAAAAGAAAGAATAGAAAAAGAATTTAATTCTTATTTGTTGTTTTATTTATTGTATGTTTTTGTTTCCATAATGTAAACTAATTAATCGATTTTTATTTTATGTAATTATCTTTTTGCCTAACATTTATATTCTATATTGTATAATAATAAAAATTCATAGGTATATGTACATTTTTATTTATATTGCATTCTATGCATTCTTCTCATATTTTTATTTCTTTAATATTTTAATTGTTTTTATTGATTGTCTAATATCTTTCATTAAACACCTATCTCATAATACAATATTGAAATAAATTCTTCAAGGAATATTTTGTTGAATTATTAGGTAGTTTATAATGGAAGGAGGTGGAGTACTTACAGCAGAACGCAGTCCTGCACGTGCGAATTTGCATGTAGCTTTCAGTGAAAAAGGAGAGGTAAAGGAGCGCAGAGAAAAATTTTTAACAGCTAAGTATGGATCTCATCAGATGTCTCTTATTCGTAAAAGACTTGCGGTTGAAATGTGGCTATTTGATGAGCTAGAAAAATTATATGAATCAGTTGTAAGCATGAAATCAAATTTTTTCTGATTAGAAGTTACTATATATGTAGGATATAATTTAGCAATTTCTTAAATTTACAGAACGAAAGCGGCAAAAATCGGGAAGTTGAAATAGATATAGATGAACTTCTTGATATGGACAGTGATGATCATAGACGTAGATTTTTACAAGTATGTGTATATATATATAGAACGATCATTATCAAAATTGATTATTTATTGTTTCATTTTCTTTGTTATAGGAGTTGCTAGTTGATACAAAGAAACCACCACATGATATAAACGTAAGTATATTCACCAACCTTGTCTAAACACTCATTTTAACGATATTTTCTTCCTTAAAATTTCATATTTTGTGACTAATTCTCCATAAAAATAATATCTGGTAGTTCTGAGAAATTAATAAGGTCGGTTATGGTGTGTACCGTTTATGGTTCCAAACAATTTGTCACTAACGAAAGTTTATCTATTTGTTTATATGTTTCAGAAATTCATTAACGATTTACTCGAAAAAGCTAAAACACTTTGAAGAACTTCCGTGTTCTTCTTAACACTTACGTGTTTGCAAGGACTTTTTTGAAGCATTAACAAATTTGCTCAGATTTTGGAACGAGTCAAAGACATATTCAAGCCTTAATGAATCGCGTACAAACGCGACTCAAATGCCAATTTATCATTATACTTGGATCGAACACAACGGGGAAAAGAAAATGAAAAGAACAAAAAGAAAAAAAAATTCATCAAATGACTCTGCACATTTTTATTCTAGCGTATATTATTTCATATTGAAATCGTAAGCATTAGTGTCTGACTTATCTCAGTACAACGGCTAACTTTGTTAGTTATTTATGTGCGCATCGCATATCAAGTAATAAACCTCACAGTACACGGAACTGCCTTGCTGTACGATCCATCCAGTGTGATCTATAGTAGAAAACATTTGTTCTTCTACACTCTAGTTTTGTATGCATTCTAAACTTCATTGTTCGTAGTAACATTTATGTTATTAAGGATGATTAACTAACAAAGATACTTCCAAAACGTTGTAATTATATCAAATAATTTGTATGCATATCCTATGTTCACTGAATTGTCTCGACTGTGGATACGATTGGGTTTGAAATGATCGATAATTCTTATGTTGTAGTTTAACGAATTAATACAAAACTTTTTCTATTTATTTTAGGAGATACTTTAAGAGAGTAGATATGCAAAATTTTGCATCGAATGCTTGTACGAATTTAAAAAGGAAACAAAAAGAAAAAAAAGAAAAAAAAAAGATGAAATCTGTTTGATAATATAATAAAAGCGTGTATGTTTCAGATGATATTATTACTGGCACAGTAATAATTAAAACGTGGAAATGACACCTATTGTTGCTCCAGTACCGAATCAGTATTGAAAATTATTGCGAAACAAATTAAAGTCTGCCGTAAGTTTCTTGTTCTTGGTTCTTTTGAATAATTGTTGTTTAAAATCATTCAAAGTTCTTGTTAATGAAGAGAGAGAAAGAGAGAGAGAGGGAAAAAAACATAAGAAAAAGTATGAACATTCCTAAATTTAGAAAGATATTAAATTTTTTATATTTTAACAACATATCGACGATTTTTTAAATTACTTTGTTATTTATATAATCATGTTGTTAATTTTCAAGATTTTAAATTACTATTTATAGACATGTTGTGCTCGTTTAAGTGATCGATCGATCATTCTGTGACGAATATTTAATAGATCAATTTGCATGTTTATCTTGAAAAAAAAAAAAAGAAAAAAAACATACGGAACGAAAATGTACAAGACTTCTGTTCTGACGGCCTCGTTCGGATAAAATAATTGTAAATGCGTATAATTTATTATGATGTAATTCGTGCGAATGTATACGTGATTCGAATTAACGCCTGTGTTATGAGAAAGAGGGAGAGAAAGAATAAGGGAAAAGAATTCATCGTCGCAATAGAGCGCACGCAATCATAGGTGACATTTATACGATTTACCAATCAATCATTTAACATACGAGCTATTGTGTAAAATGTATCCATAGTTATTGTAAAAGAGGAAGGAAGTGAACTTAACGCGAACTTCCGGACAACCCAAAGGATCTCTTGCACCGATGTATCTCGCATTAATTATTTAAAACCAAAAATGAACAAAAAAAAAGACTGCACAAGTGGAATTTACCTTCCTCTTAGACACCACATGTTATATACATTTATAGATGCGTACAGGAAATCACCGTCAAATGGCAAAACAGGATGATAAAATGGATATATTATCGAATACGTAGTATCAGATGTTGAATGAGGAACCGACGGACAAAAATGTATGTAAAGAAGCAATACCCACACCATGTGATTACCATAACGATATATATATTCACGTGAAAGAAAAAGGAAAGAAATGGGGAAGAACTTCGTGGCTATCTCATGTTACGAAGGAAAACGTACACACCATTTTTGTAGTGTTGTTAATCCCCATTTGAAGAACAGGAAAGAATGATTTTATCCAAGCAAGGCTTAGTGAATCACGATTATTTTCACGAGATATATTTGAGTGTGCAGAGATTTACAGCTGCCGCTTATCGTTTGGCAAGAGCGTGATCTTTGTAGACTTGATTGAGGGCATATAGAGAAATGTGTTTAGAATATCATCACTCACCCTCCACCCCTTTTTCAAATAAGAAATAAACTTCCATACGATTTAGGCGGATAATGTGTAATTAAAGAAAGAAGAAAAAAAAGAAAAAAAAAAAAAAGGAAAGAAGTCTTCTCAACTCAATTATGTAATTATATTTAAAACTTTATACGACGAAATATATGTGAATGTGTAATTAAAATTAGAGAAGTAAAAAAAACGAAAGAAAAAGAAAAAGAACTACTATACAATAAACCTTGATCTCGTAATGAGTAGTGCAATCGTTCGACGTGTTCGTTCAGCTCAGATCAAGCGAAATCATGTGACACGTCGTGTCATTTAACGAATCGATTTTTATGTCGAACGAATACGTCAGAATTTAATCAGAGTTTATTGTATTAGAAACGATACAATCAATTGGTGCACTTGTGATCCAGTGTGTGTGGTACAACGGTATGCGACCTTCGATAGAGTTATGTTCATCGAATCGGAAAGGGGAAAAAAGAAAAACGAAGAGGGAAGAGTAAGAGGATGATTATTGAAGTTTTGAAATTTTATCACCAGGCAGAAAAATTGTCGCTGTATCTCACAGGCTCCTTTGTTCTTTCGTTTCTCTGTTATAAAATAGAAACGTGTTCAAGCGCTTTGCGTGTAATGCTCGTTGGCATGTGAAGAATGTTTCGTAACGTATATAACGTGTAATCGTTCCGGCTTCGTGTCTCTAAAAAAAGAAAGGCGTTGGAAACTCGTGTGTAATTGGTATGATGCGATTTCAACATTATTTTCTCGGCGAATCGTTTTTGTAGGAAGTATGTGGTACATTCGATGTCTCGTAGAAGAAGAAGAAGGAAACACGACGAAAGGCGAAAATATGTACATCCGTAAAACGACACTGGAATTTCCCATCCCCCCCTGTGTGAATGCCTCTTGGAATGTTAATATTATAATACTGAATCAAATTAATCCATAATACTCTTAAGTAAGAGGGGAAAGCACTTTTACACTAACTACACGAAATTGAGACTTTCGCGACAAAAAAAAGAGAAAAAGAAAAAAAAGAAAACTGAAAAAACAATAAGAAGAGATTTAGGCAGTCGTGTTCCTTACGTTTTAAATTGGCGGTATTCGTGTTTCCACGAGGAAACAATATTTTGCATCAACATGTACTGATTATGTAAGAGATTGTATTTACTTGCACAAACAAAATAAGAATTGAATAACAGAAAAATTTATGGCTCGTTCCTTTTTCTTTTCCCTTCCCTTTCTTTATCCAGTGATCTAATTATGTATACGACATTAATAAATTAGAAATTTATTACCTAATCATAAGCGAAATTTACATTAAAAGAAAAATCAATATCTCTTTACTTTCTTTAGAAATTGTAACTAAAAAATAAGAGATGAAATTTCAATTGCAAGAATTACATTGCCATATTGAAAATATTTATTCACCTACGTAGGATCCAGTCTGAAATAGTTCAAGCGAATTATATCAAAGGTTTATTCGTTATATTGTACAGAATTTCATCAAGGTTATAAGGCGTAGCGGCCTGCGATATATATTCTCATGAAAAAAGAAAAGAATTCTGAAAACATCAGCTTGAATAAAGATATATGAGATCGATATACGTAGTGAATAAATTTGTGATCCGTAAAAACATTCCTCTATGGTTACTATACATCTTTTCTCATCATTCGTAAAAATATGTCGCTTGTATAGCATCGTTTATATCACAATGTCGCAGAGACATTGCATCATGAATGAAGCGTAAGACACGTTAATCGATCGGTTTCGCAATTGGAACAAGAGAGAAGATTTATATAAATACTTTACATAGCGACGTCCCTTCGTTCATGTTTATGAATTTCTGATTCCAAGCGCCTGCTCCAATTCCGCGCGTTTTTGTTGGACCTTCGTGTAAAAATATCGGCACACAGCTTCCTGGGCCCACGGTTGATAATAAAATTCTGCTCTACGTTCCTCTTCCGGGTTACCAACAACGTCTATCATCGTTTTCAAGTCTCTCGTTTGCGATATAATCCATTTGTTGATGAACTGTTGAGGGTCTTTGGCAAAACTCAAGAAGAACTCCCGGTTTGTTTTCAATTGGTTAATCGTCTCTACTGTTTCGTGAATTTTATTGTCGAGACTTTGGATCTCCTGTTGGCTCGCGGTGGACAGTAAGAAATTATTCATCTGCGTTTTTAACGTGTCGTCGACCTCCACTTCTATGTCGTAACATGCGGTCTGCTTCGTTTCTGTACCTGATGAAACAAACGGGTTATTTTTCATTATTATTGAAAATCGTGGAAGACGGCACGCATTGATTGATCTTTACTGACAGATACCTTCGACGCTAATAACGTGATTGATTACAATGGGATCCGGAGGATGAAGCAATGGATTTAAACGCTGTGGTATCTCTGCAAATTTCATCCTCGAGCAGGCGAATATTTGCTCAAGATATTTATCACAGTTTATGAATTCCCTTTCGTGACTGTCTTGAAGCTTGTGTGTCTTTATGTACTGCCAGAGAGCGGAAATAATAACGGGCCGAGTTTGGGTATGTACACCTAGAAGTCGGGCTAATCTGGGATCTAGTTTAAACTGTAATCAAAAAAATCTCTATTGAATTCCAATTTGAGCCAACTTCGAAATTTAGACTCAATTTAAAGAAATCAGAGTTACCTGTAAGGGTTGGTAGTCGAGAAGCAAGAGAATAGTGCATCGAACATTTTTATCTCCAGGTCTTTTCACTTGGAAACCATCAGTTTCTTGCGTTGTCAATGTACGGTGCCATTCAACCAAGTGATTATCAGGTCCATATAGATCTTTATCCAACTCTATAACTAGACTTTTAAAAAAGGAAGAGAACTTCCTCTTCACCTAAAAACCGTGTATTAATGATATAAATGAATTATCTTTCATTTAAATGATCTACGATTTTCTCTTTGAAGATAAAATTGATTTTTACTTTGTTGGGATCATTTTTCGTATCGTCTAAGAGTCGTCCCTCAACTCTAAGTTCCCAGGAAGCGACCGAACCTTCCTCACCCTCGCCAGCTTCTTTCGCTGGATAAAATGTATTCGAAATGAATATTCGCAGTTTCCTTTTTTGTTTCATTGGGCGTTTCAGCGCTTCTTGTATATCCAGTCGTTTTCGCATTATAGTCGCATCCAATTTTCTCTCAAACGCGAGTAAGTCCATGTAAGCCTGAGATTCAGGCACTAGATCACGTACTTTCTGCGGTAGTATTTTGTCTGCCAACTTTTTCTTCTTCTTGGATGTGGAATGTGAAAAATCACTGTTCCAAAAATACCTATATGAGTTTGTGTAAAAATCATAGATTCAAAAATCAATAAACCAATTTTAAAGCTTATGAAATGCAGTGAAGTTCCTGGTGAATTCGGTGAATGGTTTGTTTTCGACATATTGATGATAACGAACAAATTAATAATTTCAAAAAAATTAAGTAATCAAACCGATAAGATTTAATTGACATATTGCTTTTTGAAGTATATGAAATCATAGATAATAAAATCTATGTCTAATAGTTAATGAACTAAGCTAAATCTATGTCTAATAGTTAATGAACAAAATAGTACAAAACATGAATGTACATAGTTTTAAGAAATCACAGATAATAAAATCTATGTCTAATAGTTAATGAACTAAGTTAAATCTATGTCTAATAGTTAATGAATAAAATAGTACAAAACATAAATGCACATAGTTAAACAAAAAACATGCGACGTTAGTGCACTTACGGTTTTTGTTGCGACATGGGAATACGTTGATCTGCGCTTCTTTTTCCAACTGGTGGAGTAGGCATCGGTCCTTGACGCATATTTGAATAAGGTTGATTCGCTCTTATTATACTGGCTGGACCAGGGCCTGTAGTGGCCATTTGGGGAGGCGGAGTAAATCCAGATCTCTGCTGCATCTGTATAAAAATTAGTTAGTAAGTTCCTTGTTGTCCCGATTAATTGAATCATTTGGATTCTTGTATACTCACAGGAAAATTTGGGCCAGAATACTGGCGTAAATTAGGAGGTACAGACGATGCTGCATATCTTTGTGGTGGAGGGCCGTTATTCCCTGTATTTGGTACAGGAAACCTTTGTGCCATGTCTTTTTTTTTTATGATTATCCTATTGATTGAAACAAGTACTTTTACACATACAGATATTTGTCAACAGCTTATGATCAACAAAAGAGTTTCAATGAAATTATATCATATTTTATTATACAACAGAATCACACGAATGTACACAATGTTTCATTATAGTAGGAAAGTTTATTTACATGTGCTGTACATAAAGATCATTTACATTCATACGCGAGAGTGAATAGTTGGTGCTTTTTGAACAAACATTGCGTCTTCACTATCAAACTACTGGGAGCAAACAAAAACATAACCTCTAAATGCGTACCTAATTACAACCTTACACAGGTCGCGATTAACTGCGTTGTTTGTCTAAGTGTCGTAATATCGAACAAAATAGTGAAATTCATAAAATAATTGATAGAAATGCAAAGAAAACGAATGTTCTTCGGACAGAATCGGGTGCATTTTTCTCCAGAAACACAGTACTCACTCGGCACGCTCGAAACTGCAATGTTTTGATATAAACCGAGGTATAGAAATGGCTTGATATAGACCGAGGTATAGAAAAAGAAAGAAAAGAAACGAATTCGACGAATAATGAAAAAAACCACCTACGTTTCAAAAAACTTCTATGCACTAGCAACTGGGGTTAGCAGTTCCAGAAAAAGCGGCGGATTACGCATGAATAATTCTTCGCCTCCGCGAGAGGGCGCCACAAACAAACACACATTGCACTCCCGAATTATTTCCCCTCAGCGAAAGAAAAGTTCTATCAAATCCGAAAATTACACTAATAAAGTCTCTTTCCTGATTTTATTTATTTATCAATTGTTCATCAAAGGTTTTACTCATAATTTGCCACGAAACGAAAGTAGTCAAATCGGAACACAAGAAAAGTTTTGCACTTTTGCGTCGGTTCTTTTAAATTTAAGATAAAATTGGCAGTAAGTGCAATGATAAATCTCGAGGATGTAAATTTCCCAAATTCTCGTAGTAACATCTCTATGAATTTGTTCCAACATTAAATAAATGATTAATAGGCAGTAATAATAGAGTACCTTGAATACCACCTGCGCACGCGGATTCACGAGAAAACAATAATTAATCATAAGATGCGTGGGAATTTAATTCCGGATTCCCGAAAACGCGCTTAAGTCAAGGCGTCGACGATTCTGACACGATCATCCGAAAAGTCGCGAAGAAGGATAACGACATTCGACTCGCGATTACGTGTCAGAGGTGGCTGAAATTATTGAAATTCGACGAAAATTTTGCACGCTAACGACGAAGGGGAGAATGGAAATACACAGGATGCCGTGATTATATTTAAACTTGAGTCAGTAGCTAGCGATTTCGCCGGTGAATAAGTCTTCCATATTATTCGAATGAAAGTCGCGTTCATTACGCAACCTCCCCCATTATCACCCCCCTATTTCAAGTAAATATTTAAACGGTGTATGATTCATTACATATTATTATTCGATCGTCAGTAGAACCGTTCTCTAATGCATATTAGCTATTTAAAATGGCCATTCGTAAGCTAAGATCTCATCAAATGTGCTTCTCCAAATGTTCCGACTATTAAGCTACATTTCGTTAACCAGCTTCAGGATTTTACGCGATTTAAGCATTTCCCCCTCCCATAATTGTTTTCTTAAATACAAAGTACAATTGTTTGTATTTCGTACATGATTCATATTTGAATTAAAAAGAATTCTTGACCAAACGCTTTTAAATCGCTCGCCTTTTGGCGGGCTTTCATCCTCGATCTGTTGGCTCGTCACATAAATTCAAAAAGTGGATCAACGTAATAATAACTCGACCCATATAACGGCTGGTTATTTAAAGAAAAAATACTCTGTGACACTTTGCGCAATCCAATTTCGTTTTTCTTGTTTTATTTATTTTTTTTTTTTTTGTCGAATATTTAGAGCAGCGTAGCGAGGGAGAGCTTTTGAGTAACAATATGGCGGCTTGCGGATGGAACTTCAGGAATCTAATACGGAACGAAACAAAGATCTTATCTCTTGTAAAAAAAAAATTGTATCTCTTCATTGGTTCTCCTTCGTAAATTATAGCTGCAGTTGGTAATAATTGTGGTTTTTAATAATAAAGTTAAAAATAACAAATTACTGGACTTTCAATCTCCAAGAGATTAATTTTAATTTTAAACTTTATCTACAGAATTATTTTAATTTTAAACTTTATCTACAGAGCGCAGAAATTTATTCTAATTTAGAATTTTCTAAAAATTCAGTCACAGAATTTTTACTGTACTTCAAATAGTACTTAATTTAATTCGGGATTTAAATTCAAGTTTTATTTATAGAATTCGAGTTTATTGGCAGTTGCATATTTGCTGTGCTATTAAATAGCTAATTTTAACGCGAGTAACTATTAAAAACATGGAAACAGGCAAAACAGTGAATAAGTAATATGACCAAGAAAGCGGAAGGAGAACTGTCTCGAATTAGTCAGCCTCTCGATCTATTACCACCTACAGTGCGTAGTGCATTAAACGAAACACGAGGAAAGAACATTATTACAATTTAACGGAGAATTTTAGAAACATGAATCACATTAAACACATATGTATCATTAAATAAATTTGATTAATTTTTATAATATTTTACAACATAGTGTACTTGATGTTGTTATTTATAAAGGATCTATATTTGTATTGTACAAATTTTAAGGTTTGCATGAAAGGAATCCAGAGATTACTGCAACAGAAATTTGAAATTTGAGAATTTTAGGAATTTAGGAATTCAAAGCTTTAGAAATTCGTACAACACAAATTCGTAGGAGTAGTTTAATAAAATCGAAAGACTATCCATAGAATTTCACGTTTGTTTCGATTCACAATCAAACACACTAATATGCAAATAGCTTCATATCGAAACCACCCTTATCTTCTTTCTAATCTTTACACCACCCCATCTACTCGCTATAATGTAACGACTATAAGCAAACAAATGTCTCATCAACCACGAAAAAGTTCCCACACTTCCTAATTCTAACCAAATATGATCGCCCGAATCCTTATCCATTGCACGTGTATCGCAACGAGTTTCTCGTGGAGACGCAGCTTGCCAGCCACGATTTTGGAAATCCTACGTCCAAGTGAATAAGCTGCTAATATTAGATCGTCGAAAACTGTGGAAAGCACGTACGCATACACTAATAAACATAGGTGCATGTGTAACGTTGTCTTTTTCGAAACATAGGCGGGCACCACCCGTGTTGGACAGTTTCCTCCAAAGCGTGGGCCGTGTTCCCGCCATCTCTGCGGAGTATAAGAGGGACCAGCACTAGGACCAAGCACTTCAGTCCTCTCTCGACAAGCGTCACAAGGTACAAGGATGGCTCTCGAACGTCAAGTGCGCGCCAAGGTATGAACACGAGGACACCTTTGTGCATCGTGCAAGTACACACCTTGTTTCGTGGAAGAATCTGAAACCATTTCCCGTCGTGTGGAATTCGCAGATCGTTGGAATCGCGCTTGGTTCACAATGGCATTCTAAATTCGGAAATCTGCCGTGAATTTATTTACAGTGAATGTTTGATGCAACCGCCGAGTACCACCCACCCTCTTTCGCGACGCGAACTTTTGAATTTGTGCGGTAGAAACTTTTCAACTTTCAACTCCGTTTGAATTTATGCCGTGCAACTTTCATTTTGTCTATGAAATTTCCAAATCTCGAGAACTTCCGAAACTTTTGTAATTCTAATTTTTACACTTGCTTGATGCAAGCCTCTCTTCAATAAATTCCCACGTTTCCATTCTATACTTTGAAGGTGAAAATAGGGTGAATACTGGCGTATTTGGTTGTGAATTAAAATAAATCATTGTGGATTTTATTCTCAGTTTTAGTGCTCCATTGAGTTGGCAATTAATTCTTGAGGAAAATTTTAAGAATCAGATGATTTCGTTCGATGAATTGGACAAGTTTTGAGAGAGAAATGTAACTTTTAAATACGTCTGTAAATTGATAGCTCTTAGATCAAAATTGATTCAACCAATTTTTCAACGATCTCAAATTAATATGTAGTATATATTTTTAATTAAATTTCCATGGTAATTAAACAGCGACTACATTTGATTGTCCCATTGCAGATCGCTGCGAAGCGTAACCCAGAACAGGAAAGAGAAGCCCAAGAATGGATCGAGAGCATTTTGGGCAAAAAGTTCCCGCCAGGTGAGGCCTTTGAAGACGTTATCAAGGATGGACAGGTGTTGTGTCATCTGATGAACAAGATCTCCCCCGGAGCCATTTCCAAGATCAATACCACTGGCGGACAATTCAAAATGATGGAGAACATCAACGCGTAAGTTTACTTTATAAATAATTTCTCACAAATTAATTGCAGATTTTTATTTAGTTTCTGGAAAATTTAAATTGGCAAAAGCACATAAAACATTTAAAAGTCCAAAGTCTTTATAGCATTTAGTGGAATTAATCCGCAATATCCAGCATTTAACCAGAAACATTTTTCCCATAAATTCGTTTTTTGCTCATATGAAATAAGGAAATTTTTCGGTGACATTATTTGGTATTATTGTTAGGTTCCAAAAAGCTCTGAAAGACTATGGCGTGGCCGACGTCGACGTGTTCCAAACGGTCGACTTATGGGAGAAGAAAGACATTGCACAGGTGGTGACGACTCTCTTTGCTCTTGGTCGTACGGTAAGTTTCATTAAAAATTAGGTTAATGGTATTTAGTACCGACGGAGTGCAATTAGGGAATCGAGTGGATTATTCCATTTTCAACCGTTGTAATACCACTGAGTATCATCATTTAAATTCCGTATTAAAATATTACTTCCAATACTACTTTCCAAAAAAAAAAAGTTTTAATCTCCGATCATTACAAAAATTTCCTCGCCCTCCTTTTAAAATTTTCATATCACTCTTAAGATTTGAAATAAATATTAAATGAATTAATCGCCGCTTTTCCGTAGACGTACAAGCACCCAGAATGGAATGGGCCATATTTGGGACCTAAGCCAGCTGATGAATGCAAACGCGAGTTCACCGAGGAACAATTGCGCGCTGGTGAGACAATGATCGGTCTACAGGCCGGTTCAAATAAGGGTGCCACCCAATCTGGCCAAAGTATTGGTGCCACTCGTAAGATTCTCCTAGGAAAATAAGCCAGCACGATCGGCACGCGTTTTTAGATTTCAAGAAAAACTCACACCTTGTATGTACATGTACATAAACCCACGCACACATATATATTATGTATTTATTTTGTATTTTGTAATTAAATAATAATATATATATATTTTATTCATTAACAAAAATCTTCATTAAATCTATCCTCGCCCTTATTAGGTCTCACTGTCGAGAGATCGTTTCGTTTATTCTAAATTTTCCGCCGATTTCTAAAATCTCCTTTGAGGTAAAAATACAAAGCAAAATGGCGGACGACGGAGCCACACGAGCGATAACAATGCTTTTTAAATTTCTG